GTCACAGGAGATGTGGGATTTTGCTCAGGCGGTGGCGGAGTGCGAATTAATTGACGCTGGATGTGATGGTGAGCCCTTCACGTGGGTGAGGGACGGACTCAAAGAGAGGTTAGACCGTGCCTTAGTTTCTGAGGCGTGGTCGATGGTGTTTGCGGTTACGACCGTCACACACTTTACTCGATTCGGGTCTGACCATTGACCCATTCTCATCCGGTGCCGATTTTCGACCACCCGCCGCCGCCCTTCGTTTAGGTTCCAGAACATGTGGGTTCGCCACCACTCCTTCCACGACACTGTTAGGGATTCCTGGCTTCAGCCGACTGGGCTCTTCGGGATGCGCAATCTCGAGGCGAAGCTCGGCAGACTGCGGCGTCGATTGAGACAGTGGAACTGGAATGTTTTTGGAAACCTTCACCAGCGCCTTGCTGCGGCTTAGAGTGCGCATGCGACGGCTGAACGGGCCTATGACCTGGACCCCACTCCGGAGAATAGGACTGCCATGCACCGCTGCCACGCCGAGTACCAGCTCCAACTCCTCATGGAGGAAGACTTCTGGAAGCAGAAGGCGACCGTTTGCTGGGTGGCCGAGGGCGAGCGGAACACTAGGTTTTTCCAGGGCTACGTTAGGCAGAAGCGTGCTAAGTCGTACATCTATAGTATCGAGGCTGATGGGTCATCCTTGACCCAGGAGGCACAGATTCGGGAGTCGGCTGTTGCTCACTTCCAGACCCTCTTCACCTCTGACAGAGGGTCCCTCGTGGCCCCGACCGCTTCTTTTTTCCCCACCATCCCTCCTTCGGTCGATCTCATTGGCCTCTGTGAGCTCCCGAGCAGGGAGAAGGTTAGGGATGCTGTATTCGAGATTGATCCCAACAGCGTTTCTGGCCGGGATGGTTTCTCCTCCCTCTTCTATCAAGTCAGCTGGGATCTTGTCGAGACTGACGTCGAGGAGGCGATGCTGGATTTTTTCTCCGGCCACCGGATGCCGGATTCCTTCACGTCTACCTCTGTCGTCTTGATCCCCAAACGACCCAACCCTAGCTCTTGGTCCGATTACAGGCCCATCAGCCTGTGTAACGTGACCAACAAGCTCATTTCGAAGATTCTTAACGGCCGTCTTTCCCCTCTTCTCCCCTCCCTCATCTCTCCGAACCAGAGTGGATTCGTCAAGGATCGGGTCATTAGTGATAACATCCTTCTGGCCCAGGAGATGATCCACGACATCTCCCGAGCGGACTGGAAGCGGGCTCCGAATAGACATGGCTAAGGCGTATGATAGGGTTGAGTGGCCGTTTCTTAGGGAGGCGTTGACTAGGATGGAATTCCCTGAGCGTTGGATCAGCTTTGTGGAGGCGTGTGTGGAGTATTGCACATTCTCGGTCCTGATTAATGGCAGCCCCATCGATTTCTTTCCCTCCTCTAGAGGCCTTAGACAGGGCGACCCCCTTTCCCCTTCCCATTTCGTTTTTGCGGCGGCCTACCTCTCTCGCTGCCTTGACGGCTTCATCCGCTACTCCCCCCATATGACCTATAGCACCCGTGGCTATGGTCCTACCATCTCTCACCTCTCTTATGCAAATGACATCATTATCTTCACCCGGGCGGATGATGATGGACTGGTCGAGCTTATGCGCCTTTTGGAGCACTATGGCTTGGTCACCGGTCAGCTGGTCAGTGTGCAGAAGAGCACCTTCATCCTTTCATCTGCCACCGTGGACAGGTGGGCTCAGCGGGTCACGACATTACTGGCTTTGCGCGTAGCGACCTTCCCATTACCTACCTCGGGGTCCCTTTATATAAGGGAAACCTCACGAGAGCGCTCTTTGCGGGCGTCAGGCAGAGGACGATCGACAGGATCTCTGGTTGGTCGCATAGATATCTTTCTTTCGGTGGTCGGCTACCGCTGATCAAGAGCACTCTTAGCTCTCTTCCGATTCACTTGCTTATGGTCCTCGACCCCCCTAGGTCTACTCTTGACGAGATTGACCAGATTATGGCTCGTTATTTCTGGGGTTATGAGGACGGGTCTGGGAGGGGGAGACGTACTCACTGGGTGAGTTGGGACTCTATCTGCCGCCCCCTCCCCGAGGGTGGCCTTGGCATCCGCCGCCTCAGGGACATTGTTACAGCTTTCTCATACAAGCTGTGGGGGCTGGGAGGGGGAGACGTACTCACTGGGTGAGTTGGGACTCTATCTGCCGCCCCCTCCCCGAGGGTGGCCTTGGCATCCGCCGCCTCAGGGACATTGTTACAGCTTTCTCATACAAGCTGTGGGGGCGCTTCAGGGAAGGAAAGTCACTTTGGGCTCAGTACCTTCGCGGAAAGTACTGCCCTAGACGTGCCAACCACCCTTGTTGGGTCACGGCTGTTGATCATGATAGCAGACAGTGGCGGCGCCTCACTAGGGTCGGGAGGCGAGCCCAGGATCACATCATTTGGGTTTTGGGCAGGGGCGATGTCAGTGTCTGGGATGAGTGGTGGGTAGGTGATAGGCCGTTGTCTAGGGATAGGCAGGTGTCGCATTCCCCCTACCTGCTCGTGAGCGACCTATGGACGGAAGGGTCGTGGGATAGGGAGAAGCTTGATAGGGAGTTGGGGGTTGGTGCGGGTTTTAGCGAGCAGTTATTAGATCAGATCCAGCAGATTCCTATCTCGGGGGACGGTTCAGATAGCATGAGGTGGAGACTTACATCATCGGGTGTGTTTTCTACTACCTCGGCTTGGGAGCAGATAAGGCTAAGGGATCGACCTAATCTCCTTTTCGGGGCTATCTGGAGTGACCTTTTCACGCCTACTATTTCGGTGTTCCTTTGGCGCCTCCTCTTGCGCCGGATACCCGTCGATACTGTGCTACACGCGAGAGGGATCTCATTCCTCTCTCGGTGTGTGTGTTATTCTGAGACTGGACGCCATGAGACTGGGACCTTTACCCACCTTTTTCTAGAGAGTGAGATTGTAAGGAGAGTGTGGGAGCATTTTGCCACTTGGACTCATATATCCCTACCCACCACATACAGTTTTTTTGAGCTCCTGAGTTTTTTCTCACAGAGCACACACCTTAGACACGTGGGCTTCCTCATTCCTTGTCTGATCCTTTGGTTCACCTGGACAGAAAGGAATAGTGCGAAACATAGGGATATTACTTTTATGTTTTCTCATATTGTTTTGCAGGTAGAGAGACACATTTCACTCCTCATCGCATTGGACAGGCTCACGGCCCGAGACTGGACAGGCTGCACGCCACCGCATCGCTACATGGTGGCCCCACCACCGCCTGTTCGGCCTCCACGGCCAGAACTGTTGTTTGGCTTCGACCTGACTCTCTGTGGGTCAAGCTGAACACTGATGGCTCCTTTGATCGCCACACTGGACTTGCCGGAGGCGGAGGCTTGATTCGGGACCATAGCGGCGCCCTCATCACCGTCTTCCACGCGTCCATTCAGGCCTCCTCGAGCTACGATTCAGAGATTCAGGCACTACAGATTGGCCTTCAGATTGCTGTCCACTTCTCTAGTCATATATGGATCGAGCTGGATGCTGCGGCTATCGCCACTCTCCTGACTTCGGGCCATCAGGGCTCATGGCAGATTCAACACCCGCTTATGCGCATTAGAGATCTACTTCGGTCAGTCCATCATAGGATCACGCACATCTTCCGTGAGGGGAATAGACCGGCTGATTACCTGGCCAGCCTTGGCGCCACCATACCAGGCACACATACATTCCAGACCGACACTGCTCCACTCCGCCTTCGCACTCTTGTACGGATGGATCAGCTTGGATATCCAGCGTTCCGCTTTCACTAGTTTAGGATTTCTGTTTCATTAGTATAGACATTTATTTCAGGCATCTGTTAGCCCGAAGATCGGCTTTGTTTTGTAGTTTTTGTTTCCTTTTCGTTTTTCGGTTTTTCCTTTTTGTTTTTCTTTTGTTTTTGACTTTGTTTGTGAGACTCCTTAGACTTTTGTATCTTGTTCGTTGATATTTTGGGCTCCCGATTTTGGGGCCCTGATCTATGCACAAGTTGGGGATCCAGCCCAATCCCTCGTCCTTCCGGGGCGTTGTTTGTTAAAAAAAAAAAA